ATAGAATGATCATTTCTTTGTCACTGGGCAAACGTACAAAATCAGCAGGGGATCAAATACTTTTTTCCCTCACTGTATTTCACAAATTTTATAAATCACCTGACGTCCCAACCCCCTTGGACATTGCCACGTACTCCTCGGTTGAGAGTCACTGCTCTAAGCTGGGATTTGTTTCTACGCAGAGAAAAATAATTTGAAGCAGAACCGGTCGTAGGGGTTTTTAATTGGTGGTGCATGACCAAACAACTTTGTGTGAAAGAAAACAGACCAAGCTGAAAAAAATATATGACGCTTATTTATTTATTGTTATTATTTGTACTAAAACACCCAGGTTCTGTCATTCTGTGATTAACGCAGCACGGATGTTTGAAGTGCGTCACGTGACCGAACCAAACAGCCAAACAGAGGTGCGCCCCACACAAACATGTACGCCCCCGATCGCCGCACGTATGGGCGGTGACGTCAGCTCAGTTCTTTCAGTGATTAATAAGTCATAGCTCTAGAAGTGAATTTAAATATCACAACTAAAGTTAAAATCATTTCATTCATTCACATTAAAGTTACATCGCGGATCGTCAAAAACTTATGGAGGGTGAAAGTTTTAAGTGAAAGCCGCGTCAAGCCGCTCTTATTCACGTATTGAAAGTCGCGTTCGTTTTACAGTACTCTACAATAATACTTTTCACAGTTAAACACACGTGCACTACACACACATCTATACGTACGGACCTATGCACACGGTTCGAATTACATTAGTACTGTAGTTTTTTGGTGCTTAAATCCACTGCTGTGCAATGTGGATAGTAAGGATTTAATTGACCAGCCAGTTGTGGGCCGCCGCACGCTGTGGTTGTTGGGTGGCGCCTACGGCTCGTGTACCAACATGCAGGGGGTTCTGTCACGCGTGGTTTCTTTGATTTTAAAAATATATTCTCAACAGCAGTGGTTCCCCCGTACTTTATGTGTTGTACAATGGGTGGGTGGAGTTCGTGCGATTGAATAAGTTCATCCAAACCGCGCCGGGATTGTCCACCCGACGCTGGGGGAAGAACCGTCTCGAGCACGCCCTGTCCACAGGACGTCCACAACGCGCCGAGTGTCTCTGAACTCCGTGCTCTGTACAAGACGTATCAACTCACACTCGCCTGCCCCTAATATCCACCATTTAACAACGGGTGGACGGGTGTATTTATTTTATATTTTATTTGTTTATTTTATTAACCATGTATCATTCATACGTTATTCATTTTATTAAAATGATGAAACATTTTATAAATATTACAAAAAACATGATTTTATTTAAATAATTACGTTTATCTAAATTATTGATTTTATTACTCATTTGTTCAATAATAATTCACTATTTAAATTATGAAAACAAATATTATATTTTTAAATTACTTCATTTAAATTAGTACATTTATACTGTATACCTTAATTTTATATATATTATTTGTATTCATTTTATCATTCATTCACCTCATACATTTTATTATTCATTAACTTTACTTTTAATTAAATGTATTCATTTATTAACTTTATTTGCTACTTAATGTTCCTCTGCTCAGACGCTGTCGCCTCGACAGACCTGGTTTTCACCTGAGGACGGCTGCTTGCGTTGTGGCCGAAACGTGAGAATTATTTTATTATGTTTTATTTTTATTATTTTATTACTTCCCTTCTACGTGACTTTACCGAAAGAACCAAGAAGATGAATCCCTGCAGTCACGAAAGCTTTAAATCGAAATGTCTCGTTACTCGAACAAATATGTAAAACCTTACCCATGGCTCGAGGAGTATCCTGAAGCTCATTAAACAACTTAAGAATTATGATTGGAATCTCAGCTCCACCGTAACGAAGAATGAAAGCTGTCAATTATCCTCGCATTACCACTTTCAACTGAAGAAGCTTTAAATCTTGACGATGCTCCCAGCACGTGGATGGAACGTCACAGACATCGCGCTGATCAACAAGGGGCAGAACCTGAAGGCGCATCGGAGGGAGGCACAACGCGTAATCTGCACACCGCACTCTGACGTGCACGCCGCTCACCAATCCAAGCGCTACACCACCACCACCACGAGGAGAGAGATAGATGCAGCCTCCGATTATACAGCATGTATGAGCAGGGTCAGAATCAAACCCACTACCTCCTGTATGCCAGGCGAGGTAGTTAATATCTCGCCACTGTTGCATCCACTCTCTAAGCTCGGGCATCATTTTAATACTTATGGTCCAGCATCTAGCAATAAGTAGCCCATTTAGAGTTGCAATGGATAATTATTAATCGGCCACCGAGCCCACGATCGCCCTGGAAAGAAGACAAGCAGCAACATCCAGTTATGTAAACGCAGTTGGGTTAAGGAATGCGTAGTGGACATGCGTGTGGGAACTGCCCTCTGTCCGTAAAATGCCTGGTGTTGATTGAACGGTAAGCACAATAAGATACCTTCGGCCACATTCAGATCTTCGGGCGTGCCCAGTGTGCATGCTGTTTGGTGTTTTGTTATTGTCGTGCCGTTCACCACTGGACGCGTGACACAAAATATGAGTATTAGCAATAGAGGTGAGGTCTTGGAACTGTATACAACATCTTCACACCCTTTACTGAATGTTCCTTTTCAGTTTTTTTCATTCAACTACACTGTAGTACTTGGGGAGTAGTGGCGCAGTGGTTAGCATAAGACGCTATGAACCCGGCGTCCCGAATTCTATTTCCAGCCACAGCTTATGCAATTGGTGCGTTATGTACAGTGAGGGAAACATTTTTTTGATCCCCTGCTGATTTTGTACGTTTGCCCACTGACAAAGAAATGAGCAGTCTACAATTTTAAAGGTAGGTTTATTTGAACAGTGAGAGACAGAATAACAACAACAAAATCTAGAAAAACGCATGTCAAAAATGTTATAAATTGATTTGCATTTTAACGAGGGAAATAAGTATTTGACCCCTCTGCAAAACATGACTTAGTACTTGGTGGCAAAACCCTTGTTGGCAATCACAGAGGTCAGACGATTCTTGTAGTTGGCCATCAGGTTTGCACACATCTCAGGAGGGATTTTGTCCCACTCCTCTTTGCAGATCTTTTCCAAGTCATTAAGGTTTTGAGGCTGACGTTTGGCAACTCGAACCTTCAGCTCCCTCCACATATTTTCTATGGAATTAAGGTCTGGAGGCTGGCTAGGCCACTCCAGGACCTTAATGTGCTTCTTCTTGAGCCACTCCTTTGTTGCCTTGGCCGTGTGTTTTGGGTCATTGTCATGCTGGAATACTCATCCACGACCCATTTCCAATGCCCTGGCTGAGGGAAGGAGGTTCTCACCCAAGATGTGACGGTACATGGCCTCATACATCGTCCCTTTGATGCGGTGAAGTTGTCCTGTCCCCTTAGCAGAAAAACACCCCCAAAGCATAATGTTTCCACCTCCATGTTTGACGATGGAGATGATGTTCTTGGGGTCATAGGCAGCATTCCTCTTCCTCCAAACATGGCGAGTTGAGTTGATGCCAAAGAGCTCCATTTTGGTCTCATCTGACCACAACACTTTCACCCAGTTGTCCTCTGAATCATTCATATGTTCATTGGCAAACTTCAGACGGGCATGTATATGTGCTTTCTTGAGCAGGGGGACCTTGCGGGCGCTGCAGGATCTCAGTCCTTCACGGCGTCGTGTGTTTACCAACTGTTTTCTTGGTGACTATGGTCCCAGCTGCCTTGAGATCATTGACAAGATCCTCCCGTGTAGTTCTGGGTTGATTCCTCACTGTTATTATGATCATTGCATCTCCACGAGGTGAGAGCTTGCATGGAGCCCCAGGCCGAGGGAGATTGACCGTTCTTTTGTGTTTCTTCCATTTGCGAATAATCGCACCAACTGTTGTCACCTTCTCACCAAGCTGCTTGGTGATGGTCTTGTAGCTCATTCCAGCCTTGTGTAGGTCTACAATCTTGTCCCTGACATCCTTGGAGAGCTCTTTGGTCTTGGCCATGGTGGAGAGTTTGGAATCTGAATGATTGATTGCTTCTGTGAACACGTGCCTTTTATACAGGTGTTGCGGTGCAATTTATGACTCGGAGGCAGGTTGCTGTTAGGGGCTCACACCGCGTTTATTTAGGGGCTTAAGCCAAATTGTTCAGGGCTTACGGCAGGTGGACAAGGCTTACGCTGAACCAGCACCCCCCTGGCCATTAACTCCCCCAGGGGACAGGGTACTGGGATCCCTGCACCCCGGCTAACTCGCCTCTCCATCCTGCCCGGCCCGGGACCACCCCCAACCTCGGCCGGTCGGGCGGAGTAGGCTCCCCTAGCCTCGTGTGAGGATCAACTCCTCGAGTCCCCACTCCTACCCCCGACGACCCCTGGTTCTATCCCGGGTCCCCCTTTAAAATCCCCCGTGGGGCATGACATCATCGTCCTCCACGGCCCGCCTGACGTCACATCCCGCGACGCCACTCTCTCCGAGGGCGCGCGTGACGTGAGGTCACCCACTACACCTCTATACAGGTAACAAGCTGAGATTAGGAGCACTCCCTTTAAGAGTGTGCTCCTAATCTCAGCTCATTACCTGTAGTATAAAAGACACCTGGGAGCCAGTAATCTTTCTGATTGAGAGGGGGTCAAATACTTATTTCCCTCATTAAAATGCAAATCAATTTATAACATTTTTGACATGCATTTTCTGAAAATTTTTTGTTGTTATTCTGTCTCTCACTGTTCAAATAAACCTACCATTAAAATTATAGACTGATCATTTCTTTGTCAGTGGGCAAACTTACAAAATTCACAGGGGATCAAATGCTTTTTTCCCCTCACTGTATGTGTAGTATCGGTGTGTAGCACAAGTCGGAGACAAGGTAGTTGCAGGAGGCACCTTTAATTCGTTACACCATGCCGGCCGCTCACACACACCAGATCGCTTCCTTTCTCAACCACGACAGGCAACTGCTGTCCAGCCGCGCAATATTCAGGTCAAGGCGGCAACGACGAAGGCGGGGAAGATGACAGCGACGACGAGACGAGTCCACTCCCAGAACCGGCAGCACGGAGCTCTCATTCTCCGCTGCTTTTATTCTACTCGGCGCGGCTTGGCTCCACCCTGGCCACGCCTCTCTTCTCGAACCCACTAGCAGGTTCCAGGGGCCTCCCGATGAGGTCTTCCATGACCCTTGCCCCAGTTCTTCCGCCCTGCCGGCACACACAGCCGTGTATATGCTCGATGGCATGTGCGCTAACTGTCCACCGCAGTTGCCGCTGCTGGACAGCAGTCGGCGCTGTGTCACTACATATGTACTGGTCCCTCCAAACATCCATCGCCTCCATCCCTGTACCCCACCCACTTCTTTGACAAACCCATACTGACCAGCGTGGTGAAGTAGGTTCAAACCACCCCCATGACCAAAATACTAGGGGAGAGAGGTCATTATGGCAGTGGATTTAATGATTATTAATTTTAAAAGTTAGAAGTTGCATATGTCATGACTGTATAAAAAACAACGAAACAGTGTCTTTTTATTACAACGTTGCAATAATCCCACCTTAAGACATTTAAAGAGATGTGCAATGACCCCCCGCATTGTTCTCACTGGCACGAATAACACAGAGATGGCACAAAACTCCCACTTTAACGTTCCGCCCCTCTCCCCTGACTGTGGCGGCATTTTGCCAAAGGTCTGGGTCACGCGCCGTTCCAGCGGTTAGAACAAATCTTCGGACCACCCGGGAGACTTATGTTATTGCTGATTTGGGTACTTGCGAGAGTGGCTTGGAACTTAGTTTTTTTGGGGGGGGGGAGGGGGAGGGTTGGATCCTGTCTGTAGGATTCTGCAATGGCCTGTTATTTGCGTTGAGCTCATTGGGGGGGTAATCTGAAACCAGAGCGAGAGCCACATCATGACGCGGTTAGTTCGGCAGACAAAGCGCGAGGTTGCAGAAGCTCACTTCAATCACAAACTTGCAATTTACACTTAGACTCTGGTCACGCCAGGCAAGGGTAATTAGTAATTACGGCTAAGGAGAAAAAAAGAACTCGCTCTAAAAAAAAAAAAACCCCAGTGAAATTTGAGTTAAAGCGTTATCATTGTGTTTGGTAAGTCTAGTAGATGCTGGAACCGAACTAAACTCTGGTTTTGAAAATAATTTGTTAATTGTAAGAGTTTAATATCCGTGGTTCAAAACTTAAATTCTAGTAATTGCACACTCTAACTGTATTTCGAAATAAAAATGCTCCGTAATTTTGACGATTTATTGCAATCTCCCAGAAATATTAAGCCTGTCTTTCATTCCATCCAGGGACACTCTGGGACCCACCGCCGAGGTCTCGACTGCTGGGGCTGCCCGAGAACCCTCCCCGCGGTCGTCCGCTTCGTCCGAGGATGTGTCGATGACAGCCTTCCTCACCGTGAACTTTGACATAGTCTATATCCCCCTCAAGGATTCTAAAGGGAAAAAAAGATGATTCTTAACAACCCTACAATATATGTAAAAAAAAAAAATCGTTAACACTCCTGACACCAAATGTAGTGTGCTAATTCACAGACACTGTAAGAGGTACTCTCTCTCTTTTATTCCGGCCTTCACAGCCTTAGGGCATAACCACACACCAGGTCGGTACAGCCAAGCTCCTACCCGACCCACAGCTGGAAGAGGGTGAAGATCACAATGACGACGACACGACGAGTTCCGCTCCGGATCGCAGCAACCTCGACTGAGTCGGAGCTCGCCTTATAACCTGAACAGTGTCGACAGGCTCCGCCCTCGGCCCCGTACCCCTCTGGATCCCCCAGAGGGCTCCGTGCCTTTCCCACAGGTGCAACTGGTACAACAGGTTGTTACCCCTAATTTTATTGTCAACAAATCTCCCAGCGGCACATGCTACAGTGACTAATTGCACGTCACTACACATGCAACATTGAACCAACATTGAACCAACATTGGCATGTGGCTATGGTTGCTCAAGTTTACTGGGCAGTGGCTTTCCACACTCAACATCACCAGCCGTGATCTATCCACTGCTGCATGAAGGTCTTTTCAAACTGTAGACATCTTTTGTGGTCTCCCGCACCTCCGATTAGCACGGTTGTCTGTGTACGGTGTGAAATAAGTATAGCTACAATAAACATAGCTATAATATAATAATTGATTGCTCCATCTCTGTAGCAAAAAACGGAGACAAAGGATGGCACATCTTCAGCAATACAGTGAAAGCTTGGAAGAAGCTCACATCAGCGACCTGCAAGGGAAGAGGTGTCGACACAAAAGTAACAAAGGCTACACAATCCTGTACCAGGGAGTTCACTTGCAATACCTGTGCATGTACCTGCACGTCCAGAGATTAAACTGTTCTCCTACTCGCGCATCCATCGCTCACCGACCCTTCGACCCTTTGTTGTTGACTCTCTGTTGCTGAACGTTTTCGTCGTGTTGGCGTGAGACTCCTTATTCCCTATGTGACACAATGACTGAAAAAGGTTTTTGCTCTAAACTTCCCCTTTACTTTTCCTTTCAGGGCAGTGAGATTGACGAATGTGCAGAGTTTGTTATTTGTGCACCACTGCCAATGCAGTCTCACAAGTTTTGTTTTTACAAATAAGGTGTATGATTACATTTAATGCAGATGTAACTCTGCACCTGGTAATGTAATGAACGTGTGAGGACAGTCACAGTAGACACAGGTATAGATAAGGTTTTGATGTTCAGTGCAACTTTGCGCAGCCATTATTATCATTTCCATAAAATTACGATCTGTGTTTTGGCGGTAACCAACGTACTGTGTGTGCATTCACCTGACTTCTGTATTGGAAAAAACATCGTGAATTTTAATTGCATTACCAATACAACAATATTGAAAATAAAAAGGTTAAGATTCACCGAAATGCTTAATTTGGGGTAAATTTGTTTATTTCTTTCACAAAAATAGAAGCACAATTTGGAAAGAGCCATAACACATTTTTTAAAAAGTGACTTCCAGTTATCATCATGGTGGATAAGTGATAGAGCCCGAATTTGTTTGCAAAATAAGTATATACTATGTACAGTAGATCTTTATCAAGTTGTTAATATTTCCAGCAAATTTCCAGAAAATCCCTCCGAGAACACCTTGCTTAAAAACGCTATTGATCAATGTTTGCCAAAGCATTACAGGACTATACACCTCTTCCTGACATTCGCTGCACACTTTTCAGCCTCTGTTCCCATCACCTTTATGAATTTCCAAGTTATAATCCGATGTCATGGCAGGTAATAATGTACATGAATTATAAACTAAACTCTTCAAACACACTGGTATGTTGCTTTCACCACTAAAAAATCGTATTTTAATATCCTCCCCCACCACCCTCCCACCAATATGATTTATTGCCTTTAATTTGACCTTTTTTTCACTGCCACATCCGAGCCGAGCCAGTGTGGGGGGGGGGGGGGGGCTCGGAGTACAGGTGGTTTTCCATCAGCTATTTGCCGTGCCTAGCCATAACCAAAATCGAGATACCTCACATCTGGATCTGGATTGCGGCCAGATCCAGATGTGATGTCAGTCAACACACCGTGAAGTCAGCACACCGGTGCCACGGTGACGACATGTTTACTTCCTCGCCCGGTGTACTAGCGGTCGTGGGTTCAGTCCCGACCCTGACACATGTATATTTGGAGTTTGTATGTTCTCCCCGTGCTCGTGTAGATTTTTCTCCGGATCCTCTGGTTTTTGTCTCCACATTGAGACATATGCATTCTAGAGTATTTGGCTGCTGGAAATATCCACGTGATAAGCCACTTTGTTGGGCTATCATTTGCTGCCAGGTCGATTCTGACAAATAGCTATATAGTTTAGTGGGCCTTACCTGCTGAAATAAAAATAGTTTAGTTCATATTCTCTGGGTTAAAAATGATTTTTTCTCCATCTGATGTGTTGCGATCGAACCGTCGTAGTTTTTTGTAAAAAAAAATACCTATCTACGCGACTTTACCGAAAGACCAAAATAATATGAATTCCTGCAGTCACGAAAGCTTTAAGTCAAGATTTAGTTTAGTTTTAGTTTAGCGTCACCGTGTCATCTAGACGGCTCGGGCTCTGCAGTTGATAAACCACCCGGTGTCTCCTGAGCGGTGCAAGGCTGGCTCAGGAGAACCCCAACGCGGCTCAGGTTTGGTGAGTGGAAAAGAGGACGACATCGCCCCCCGGGAATCACTGCCGCAGCACGACGTAGTTCGCCGGGAACATCCCGACTTGACCGTTGCACTCGCCACGCCACCAGCCCTCGTCCAGACACTCGATGTTGGTGATGATGTCGTCCGGGTCGAAGGAGATCTCATCGTCGCCGGCTTTGTAAGAAAGACAGAATTAGTAGGGTATAAAAAGTGTATTCATTAATAATAATGATGATGATACTTGCTAATCAGGGCGAGCCTCGCTGAGGTTCAAGGCTTATTTTCGGGAGGGAACTTACACATTGGTACGATGGGGCCAATTCATTCTAAGCTGTATTTTGCATGTGGGAGAAAAACGGAGTAGCCAGAAATAACTCAAGCAAATAAGGAGATAGCACTCAATGATGTGCATAAAATTGGTTCGTGACCCAATTTGCTGCATTGGCATCTCTTAACGACTTGGCACGAGCAAACACTTCAAGGCGCGGCAAAGAAAACGTGGGAAAAGCCGGCCAACTGACGTTTTTCTAGTGCAGGGACATCTTGCAGTGCTACTTTCATCGACCACTTCGCATCACAGTAGGCTTTAAGAGTTTTACACATTTACACAATCGATCCACCCCTCACTTCTATTGTGCTGGATGACATGCCCAGCTCGTTGGCAAGCGAGGTTAATAATAATAAATACAATTTCTTAAGTGCATATATGCATGTAATTTATTCTCCAATAAAATTCTGAATTTGAACTGAAAAAAAAACTGGAAAAGTATAGCAAAAGCACAATTCTTGCGTGTCTCTCACCTGCTTGGTAGTCATAGAGGGCAACAGCTGTCGCACCTGTGGAGGACGAGGGGAAAGTCTCATTTTGTATTCTGGCAAAACAACCAGAAGAGCCTGTCGCACAATTGGTGTGAACAGGCAATGTGCAGCATGCTGCACGGACACGGAACACAGATTCCAAGTGCAACTTTCTGTAATTCCGTAACACGCGCACTTCACATGACAACAACAAAAGAATCAACACTTTCGTAAATAAAACACTGTGGCCTTAAGAAGGATTTTTTTAAAAATAGGTGACGTCTCGGGCAATGGTGACTTCATTGTAGCACACGAGGGGAGGTATACACTTCTACAATGTGATATGAATTGTACTGTAGTGGATTAACGCGCGCCAAAGGGGGAAATTGTAAACACGTGTGGGTTATGGACAGTGGGGTAGCATCAGGACAAGCAGGTGTTGCTGGGGGATACCGGCCGGAGAGAAACGACTCGTTAGGTGATTATGGGATGCAGGGCAGTGATTGGCCGGTTGTTGTTGTCAGGGACAAGGTGGCGCCAGCAAGTCTGGGGATGGGAACAGGTGGCGGCAGGGGCCGCGGGCACAGGGCGTCGGTGGGGACGCCGGTTAATTATTTGGAAATTAATGAGGACGGGGATAAATACGGGAGCGTGAGAGTGAGATAGGGAGTTGTGCTGGGAGCTGGACATAGACAGTCGGAGCAGAAGAAGAAGAATTGGTTAGCAGTAGAGACGGAGAAGAAGAGGATATGGGTGATAGAATAGGTTAGCAGTGCAGACGGAGAAGAAGAAGATATGAGAGATAGAATAGGGTAGCAGTGGAGATGGAGAAAAAGAAGAGATTAGAGATAGGATAGGCTAGCAGTGGAACGGGAACAGAGAAGACACGAGAGATGGAGACGAGAGGGAGAGACAGTCGGAGTTAGACGGAGAAGCCGAGAGAGAGCGAGACAGTCGAAGCCGAGACAGGCGAAGCAGAGAGGAGAGTCAGAGAGAGAGAGAGACGGAGAGAGAGAGGGAGGGAACGGAGTGAGCAAGGCCAGCAGAGCGTGGCGAGCGAGCAGAGAAAGTGCTGACGTCTTGGTGGTGGAATGTGCCGAGTTTGTAAAATAAAGTGACGACGGAAAAAAAATCAGTTGTCCGCGTAAAGTTCAGCACTACATTTGGTGTCGGAAGTGACTGCCTAACCACGCCGACATGTCGAAGAAATCGGCTAAATGAAGAAACGTGCCGGCAGACTCGTCGGATGACAGCAGCGATGCGGACGTAGTGCCCCCGTCGGGGCAAGAGGTTGCCGCTCCCCCGGCGGACCTGGACGATCGGGTGCCTCCGGGGCAGGAGGGCCAACCAGTCGACGCATAGACCCCAAGCCCGGCTCAAGAATGGAGGGCCGTCATGGCACAGTGGAAGGCCAAGCTGGCAATGCTCACGGCGGTGTTTGACCGCTTCACAGTGATGGAACGAGCATCGCCGACGGTGTCGGGCCAGTCCATGCACGGCGAGGACACTTCGCCAGGACTGCTGGCGATGCAGAGGCGCTTTTCCAAGGGCGCCGGGCAACTACAACCGCGGATTTCCCCCGTTCCAGGGTCCACAGGCAAGTCGCGACACATTTAATACACGGCCGTTTCCTCCACATCACCCATCTTCGCCGCCTCACCTTGTACCCACTCATTAGTATGGGTCGCACGGCAATGTTGTATGGGGCGCGTTAGTACATCGTGTTTTGGGTGCCGCGCCGGGTTCGTCGGATGTGATGGCGCTTGTTCAAGGGGTGGAGGTCAGGGTCATTGTCTATACAGGGGCTTTGGCGACCCTCATCTCTTTGCAAACTTTTCGCTCATTGCCAACCTCACCCCAGGCCGTGGAACCAGTTGATGGGCCATGTATAGCGGCAAATGGGGGTAGCTTGGGAATTTTGGGCCGCATGCTCATGACAATTCAGATCGGAGAGGTGTGCGTGACAGGATAAATTTTGGTTTCCACTGCCCTGGCTGTACCGTGTTTGTTAGGCAGGGACTTATTTCTCCATAGAGAAGGGGTGTTTGTCATTGCCATCTGGAAAATGTCTTACATTTTTGGGAACTCCGTCTAAATTCACAGCAGCAAACGCCGTGGTGCAGGCTGTGGTTCGTCGCACGGTGCACGTTCTGCCTGCAACGCAGATGCTCGTGCCGCGGCGCTTGAAAAAGGGCCTGCCTTTGGAAAACCCGCTGGAGGGAATATTGCTAGCACCTTCGAACGCTGTGTCACGGACACCCTCTTTAGTCGGGGCTTTTACTGTGGTGCCAGCAAACTGCGACCCGTTCATACGGATTGTCAATACGGGGTACGAGCCCATTGTCATTCAAGAGGCGACTACGTTAGTGCATGTGACAGCAGCGCAGAACTCGGACGTGGAGGTGTGCTTGGCAGCGAGCGAGGGGGATGCACTGCCGTGGTGTGACGAAGAACCGGACTGGTTACAGGATTTGTATGAGCAAAACCACGATTTGACACCCCAGCAGCAGTCGCGTCTCCGCAAACTCCTTTTGGAATTCAGGGATGTTTTCAGTTCGGGGAAATATGATGCTGGTCGTACATCCCTGTTGGGGCATCACATAGAGACTAGATATGCACCTCCGATTCGCCTAAATTCCCATCGTATGAGTCCACTGGAGAAAGATTGTATTTGGCAAACTGTGGATGAGATGTTAGAACAAGAAATTGTGATGGGTCCCTGCGATTTTGCGTCGATTATCTCAAACTCAATAGGATTTTGGTAGCAGATGCGTACCCGCTTCCGCGCATTGATGACTCATTGGACACCCTGTCCGGCGCAACATTTTTCTCGACCCTCGACCTCTTGTCGGGCTTTTGGCAATTGCCCCTGGACTAAGAGTCTAAGCCGAAAACTGCCTTCTGAAAACCACAGGGATTGTTCCATTTCAACGTGCTCCCGATTGGGCTACACTCCGCACCGGCCACCTTCCAATGGCTAATGGAACTCATGTTGTCTGGATTGCAGTGGGAGTCGTGTTTGATATATCTTGACGACGTCATTGTTTTCAGTAAAGATTTTGAATGGCATTTGCAGCGATTGCGAGCTGTGTTTGGCCGGGTGCGGGATGCCAATTTGAAATTTAAGCCCCAAAAGTGCCATTTGCTAAGGACGTCTGTTAAATATTTGGGTCACGTTGTTAGTGCATCAGGAGTCGCCACGTGGCCAGTGCCGAAAACGGTGTCGGAGGTGCGTAGCTTCATGGGTTTTGCATCGTACGACCGCCGATTTGTCAAATATTTTGCCACAATTGCGAGGCCGCTGCATACATTGACCATCAAGGGTAAGAAGTTTGTCTGGGGTGACGAGAAACAGCGTTCATTTGAGACGCTTCGGGACGCTTTAGAAGACGCGCCGCCGCTCGGATATCCGGATTTAACCAAGATGTTTATTCTCGACACAGACGCCAGTGACACTGGCATAGGCGCCGTCTTGTCGCAAAATATCGACGAAGTTGAAAGGGTTGTGGCGTACGGCAGCTGCTTGCTGTTCCCGGCAGAGCAAAAATATTGTGTGACGACCAGGGAGCTGTTGGCCATTGTACACTTCGTTCAGCTGTACCGACCGTACTTGTATGGCAGGGATTTCTTGGTTCGCACTGACCACGCGGCGCTGCAATACTCTTTGCGGGTTGATCAGCCCTCGGGACAGATGGCCCGTTGGCTCGAAATCCTGCACGGATACTCCTTTATGGTCCAACACAGGAAGGGGACGCGTCATGTCAACGCGGACGCTTTATCGCGATTGCCTCAGCCGTCAGGCTTGTGCAGGTGTACTGAGGGTTCACTGTGTTGCGGTCCACCGCTGCAGGGCGTTCCGGCTATGGCCGCCGCAGCCGATTCGGGCCCAGCTGGCTCGTTGGACGTGCCTACAGGTGGACGATTTCTCCTTGTCCAGAATGAGGCTTCGGGCCTCCCGCTCTAGAGGGTCGGAGGATCGCCCCTTCCTTCGGCTTGTCGACGAACTCCTCGGGGGAGAAGAAAACCGCGCTGACCTTGTGCAAAGATTTTTATTGGCCGGGTATGCAAAACGACGTTCACCTATTCATTAAGTCTTGCCACGAGTGTGTGCGGCGGAAGGCGCCTGTGCAACCATATCGGGTACTGTTACAATCGATACAAGTTTCCCGTGTTAACTAAATTGTTGCCCTGGATATTTTGGGCCCGTACCCCGTCACCCCGCGGGGTCAAAAATATTTGCTAGTAGGAGTCGAGTACCTCACTCGGTGGCCTATGGCATGGCCACTGGTGAACCAATCTGCGGGGTCGATCGCCGAGGCTTTCCTGCAGTAATAAGCCCTCGATAAAGGTGGCCCAAAGCACCTGCTCACCAATCAGGGCAAAATGTTTTCCTCCCGTCTACTTAAAGAAGTGTGTGACTCACTGAGTAAGAAAATGATTCGGATGTCCCCGTACCACCCGCAAACCGACCGGATGGTCGAGCGTCTGCATAGGATGCTAATGTCTATGTTGTGCCAACAGGTTAATTCAGCGCAGAATGATTGGGAACTACACGTTCCGGCAGCCCTAGCCGCTTACAGGTTGGCCCCGCATGCCTCAATGGGGTATTCGCAATTCTATTTAATGAACGGTCGGGGACCAGAGGCCCCAGCCCTGGTCAGGTTGGGCATGCAAGTATGGGGGAAGTCGTCAGCGGTACCTGCCCCCATGCAGGTGGCATTAGACCATCTGACGGGGGTTAGAGAGGCCTCGTTGGGTAACACTGCGAGATGGCAGGCTGCCAATGAACGCCTGCACGGCACACAGTCTCCGCGAGAGCCCTGGCATGTGGGGGATAGGGCTTGGCTGCACTGCCCTATTGTGCCGGTGGGCACATCTCCAAAGTTCCATCGACCCTGGCAGGGTCCCGTTGAGATTGTGGAAACTTGACGGGACCAGAGCGTACGAATTTGTTGCGGCCGGCGCCTATGGGATGTTCACCCGTCGCGTCTTAAGAAATGTGTGCCTCCATATGATGCGTCATCTCCCATCCCGGAAGGGCCTGTGTTGGATGTGTCCGACGAACCTGTGGTACGGCTGCATGTGAACGCACCTCAGCAGTCTGCCCCCCGTGTGCCTGTAGGACCGCCGCTATTGACTCAGGAGAGGCTTTCTGGCAGGCTCTCTGGCCGTGTGCCGGTTGGATGCGGTCACGCCAGCTGATGACCGCTGTCACGATGGTGGGCATGCATCGAGGGCAGAACGCAGCCCCGTGTTGACGAGGGAGCGTTCCCCACCCTTGTCCCCTGTCTAGCCATGGAACCTGCTCTCGAGGAACGACTTTCCGTTGAAGATTCGACTGAAGCGCTACTATACTGAAATTGTTGTTAGTGGGACTCTTATTTAATTCGGTTGTTGGTTGTTGTAGGTCGCGCGTTAGGTTGCTTGTACTTAGCCGGGATGGCTAATTCTTTATCACGGGGGGGGGGGGGGGTGATGTAGTGGATTAATGCGCACCAAGGGGGGAAATTGTAAACACGTGTGGTTTATGGACAGTGGGGTCGCATCAGGACAAGCAGGTGTTGCTGGGGATAACGGCCGGAGAGAGACGGCTCGTTAGGTGATTATGGGATGCAGGGCAGTGATTGGCCGGTTGTTGTTGTCAGGGACAAGGTGGCGCCAGCAAGTCTGGGGATGGGAGCAGGTGGCGGTAGGGGCCGCGGGCATGGGGCGTCGGTGGGGACGCCGGTTAATTAATTGGAAATTAATGAGGATGGGGATAAATACGGGAGCATGAGAGTGAGACAGGGAGTTGTGCTGGGAGCTGGACATAGACATTCGGAGCAGAAGAAGAATAGGTTAGCAGTAGAGATGGAGAAGAAATGGATATGGGAGATAGAATAGGTTAGCAGTGGAGACAGAGAAGAAGAAGAGATAGAATAGGGTAGCAGCGGAGCAGGAGAAGAAGAGATGAGAGATAGGATAGGCTAGCAGTGGAACGGGAACAGAGAAGACACAAGAGACGGAGACGAGAGGGAGAGACAGTCAGAGTGAGATGGAGAAGCCGAGAGAAAGCGACAGTTGGAGTGAGACGGAGACGAGAGGGAGAGACAGTCGGAGTGAGACGGAGAAGCCGAGACAGGCCAAGCAGAGAAGAGAGTCTGAGAGAGAGACAGAGAGAGAGAGGGAGGGAACAGAGTGAGCGAGGCCAGTGGAGCGCAGCGAGCGAGCAGAGAACGCGCTGAAGTCTTGGTGGTGGAATGTTCTGAGTTTGTAAAATAAAGTGACGACAGAAAAAGAAGTTGTCCGTTTAAAGTTCAGCACTACAGTACCATGGTACAATTGTTTTACCATGTGCTCAGAAGTTGAGACCTATGTCCAAAACGTTGCCTCATATCATTTTTTTCACTTCAAGTCATAACGTTGACGAGACGTGTTAATTTTATGTGCGCATGTGTTATGTGTGCCTGTGCACTGCCATTGGAGTGCCACTAAAGAAACGGCTCATGTGGCTGCAGTTATCCACGGACTTGAGCGGTGGATCAGTGGTTAGTGCCGCTCACTCCGAAGATGGAGACCTGAATATTATTCCCTGCCACGACTACCCAGCAAGCGGCGTGCGACATCTGAACTGGTCATAAACCACCGCCCACCTTCACTAACACGCACTTAACAATATGGTCAAGTATTACCAAACAACCCTCATGACCAACGTGGCCTGGGCAAGCCTTAATCCATCAGTGCTGGTGTGGTGAAGGTGTTGGGGGCAGCAGGGTCCACGATCGACAGACATCCCTCGCTACTTGGTGTTAGCTGCTGTCAGAATAATCGAGCTGAGGTAAGCTGGTTTGTAGCACAGTGCCCTAACCGCTGCGCCACCGCTCCCCTTCATGAGGTGATAAACTTGTTATTGATGTTAGGCCTTATGGTGCATCTGCACGTACCTTCCTCCTGCTGATGCAACTGCATCTCCTGCACAGTGTTGTCGGCAGGATCCTGTTCGTAAGCAGGTTCTGGCTCATAAGCAGGTTCTGGCTCGTAAGCTGGATCTGGTGGTTCCAGATCGTAGCTGTCACGCATCTCGTGCACGCTGCCGTGAGGCGCATATAAACCCGCAGCCTCGCTCACCTCCGCAGGAACTGCCGGCTCTTCGTCCTTTATAGCATCCTGTCGGGCATCAACAACAAAGATGATCATGGAAATGGTTACTGGGGTACCAAATCACTTTCGTTATCAAAAAAGTGCAGTTTGTTTGATTACAGTTGATTGGACATCTTCTTTCGTATGGCTGGTCAAGCCAGACAACCACGTCAGGGGCAGCAGAGTGTATCGCGCTGTGATTGGCAATAACAATAGGATAGATAAATGTGTCTTTCCCAAAACATCTTCCCCCCCACCCACCGTCCCCTTTCGCAGCCTTGGCGCCAAGGCCCCTGTGGCCCGTGGGGTCCCGGGGCAGTTTCACCGCCTGCGCTCTCGACAGCTTCTACCACTCTTGTCCTTTCCTCCACACCTCCCGATTAGCACGATTTGCTACGTACGACGAGCGAAAGAAGATCAATGTACATACATACATGCGTACTGCTCTGACCTGCTGCTGCCGGGCAACTCGCTCCCTCTCCTCGCAATCCTTGACCCGGCGTCTCTCCCGTTCCTCCTGCATTCGTCTCTGGTCCTCCTCCTCCTTGGCCTTGACAAGGTTCTCAAACTTGGCACGGATGTTACGGGCACCGGAGCTCGCTTGAACGTGACACGTCAAAGGATGTGCATTTAAGCCCGAACGAAAAGCCAACAAGTTGTATTCCCAAGCTATTTGAGTGGTAGAGGGCAGCACATCAAAACCTAAGGTTGTACTTTGTTTCTCTGCTCCCACATCTATGCTCTCCATTATCACCAAACTTCCCTCACTTTTTGAGAACTGCTTTGTGTTTAAATTTGTCCTACCTCCCCCCGCACATCTGATTAGCACGGTTGGCTATGTACGGCGCAAAAAACGTTCAACATACATGCCAGTGTCATGAGGTATAGTCAGATAATTCCTTTGACCCACACAAAGTGGAAAAGTCCTCATCCAGCAGTAGACTGACAAAGGGACCTGTATGCACCTGTAACAATTCACTCCCCTGCTGATTTGATTAATTCTCATGGTTTGAAGTCATAATTGGGTTCAAGAAAGGGTTATTTTTACCATATCATTTGTATTGCGTGTTGTAAATGTTTTTTCTCTCTTTAATGTAGTTGTGTTTTCTCCACGAGGCTAAACGTAAGATTGTGTCAAAAGTTGCATACAATTAGCATACATTGTAAGAGCTGATTTTTTTGCACACACATTTTTAATACTCATTTACATGAGAATCAAGTTAAATCGATGGTGGAATGGCAGCCAAAGTAGGGATTATGCCCAAATGATGAATCACCTAGGAGATGGGGCTTTCAGTTCAGATCACGTGCAGAAGCAAGATTGATTGTGGCATCGTGGGACCATGAAAGATGGTGATGACTTGGGGAGGTATTCATCCAGTAGTGGATCAATCATGGCTTAAGATGATGGTGATAAATTGATCCGTTACAGGCCTTAAATCTACGGTTGTTGATGAAATAAAACAATTGGAGAATATTTCAGTTCTTGAACCTTGTATTTGGTAAAATAGGGACTGTGTTAAATAAAAGCTGACTAACATGTCGCAGAAGCTCACAGCTGACCCATACAATGGTACACTAAGAGCAGGCGGTGTGCATGTCTTAATGCACAATGCAAGCGCTCATACAAGGAGCAGGGCTCATTTAGATGTGGCATACAAAAGCAGATACAAAACTTGAATCAATAACAATTAAAACGAGAAGAATGCACGCCCAAGCAGCTAATTAACGCGGGAAATAAGATGGGAAGTTAATCAGCAGTGAGCAACACTCAAGCCAAGCGTACGACTTGTGCAGTACAAAGCATACAAAACACCCAAACTACATGATAATACTCTTTCAAAGCCAGTTCAGCGTTTGTTTGCTATGATCCAGCGCTGCTGGATGACAAGCGTAAAAAATACTTATATTTTTTACGTGGAGGTAGAGATCAATGGAGGAGCAAAATGCTCTGCTTATTTAATTTGTTACTCACATTCTCTACAACGATCATATTGATCATAAATTGATAATAACATGTTCAGCGTCGGCAAGTAGCAGGTGCTAACACTCAGTTTGCTCATGGGGGCGAATTATAAACACCACTTAATGGCAAACGCCGACGTGAAAACGTGGCCAACAATCGGCTCTACAGAAGACTGCTTGCAACGGTCCGCACACACGTTACCTGCTTCCACGGGTCTGGTCTTCTGGTAGTTGGTGTTTGGTCCCTCCATGTCCTGGAAGGAGGCCACTGACTGAAATGAGAAAGATGCCGCCAGTTGTTCGGCGTAGAACAATTCACTGATTGATGTCGATTCGTCAGCTTAAGTGATGCGCTCACCCTATCGCATGCGCGAAAGAACATTTTACTAAATTCTGCATGCGTTGCATGAAATAGGTTCAAGTAACAGCTGCTGCCACTGGAGGCGGTACCATACACCACTTAATTATTATTATTTTTAACAAATTGCAATACTGGATTGTGACAATTTGCACCTCCGATTAGCACGGTTGGCTACGTGTTGTATGAAAGAAGTTAAACTTAAATACTATTCACCTGATTTCTGGGGAGTAAATTGTGCCACCCCTAGCCATTATCGATTGATTAGCTCACAGGGCAAATCTAAATAAAAGATTAAAGTTGCACAAAAGTGTGCTCACTTTTACAGCTTACTTAACCATAGCTCACAGGGCAATTCTAAATAAACTGTTCAACTGTGTTGTCGATTTGTACCGACATGCAACATGGAATACTTCTGCGGGTGGACATCTACAATGTTTATACTCTTTGGTTCTTTTGGTAAAGTCACGTAGGTAGAAAAAATAATAATAGATCATGACGTTTCGATTGTAACACAAGCAACTGTCCTCAGGTGAAAAAATATACAGCAGGAGAACTGCTGGGGCAGGAAAAATATTACGAGAGAGCTGCTGTTATATAGACTACATGACCTCGCTGAGAAAATTATGTGTTAATGAGAATATTAGTATGTCACAGTGAGACGGCTCACCTGATCGAGTCGCTTACCTTTATGAAGAGATGCCGCGGCACCAAGGTAATACCGATCGCCTTTCCACTCACTTCTGTTGCTGTCACTTCTCCTAACGCTAAACCGTCCTTGTTTAGAGCTAGCCTACCTTTAATTTCAGAGAGAATAAGACTTCTCCGATTTGAACTTGATAATTAAGACAAGACTCTCTTACAATTGTAATGGCATAGTTGAGCGCTATGTGCGATCGCCACTACTCTTCACCTGTAGTAACGGCCCCGTGTCAACAGGGGATGGAAGAGAGGCTGAGTTAGATGAGTCGGGCCGTTGGGCCAAGGTAACCCCCCAGGGAGTACCGTGATCAGAGGTGCAGACCCAAGATCCACAAGAGGGGGCTTGGGGGGATCACATCACACTCCAGGCCCCTCTACAAGGTTCCAGAAGGGAGGCATGGCTAGAGGCGGAGTGAGCTGGGACCGTGTATAAAAGCCGGACCCCTGAACGGGTCCAGCAGTTGTTATACACTCGAAGAATTGAAGAACCACCCTGAAGACGTGGAGCTGGACCCGAAGGCCTTGGCTGGGTCGGGTCAGTATAGCCTCCCAAGGCCCCGATAGCCGGAGGACCCTACAGTGGTTAGTCCCCAGTGTGTTAAGCCACGTCAGTTAGGAGGACATACCTCCTTAGGGTATCGGGTGGAAGGGGCCGTAACCCCTTTGTGTTATGCGTTTACACTGTTCCCATTTATTGTGAAATAAACGTGTTACCTCCAGAGGACATCTCTCTCTCTCTCTTCCTGAACCCACTACAATTGGTGACAGAAGTGGCCACATAGTTAGTTAGCATGAAAACAAGAAAAAAAGTATGTACCAGGGGCCCAGACGAAGGTGAGACGACTACCCCGAGGTTGACAACCCCGGCAAAAGGCAGTAGGGTGTTGCCGGCCGAGCTGCAGTCCGCCCGACCACCCGGCGGGTCACCACCATCGGGAAGAACGCTGCGGGCAGCGCACTCCTGCCTCACTCGCCAAACTCCTGCATGCCGTGGCCTCCATCCTCAGTGAGATTCATTGCGGGGAGATGATGGCAGAGGAGGACGGAGCGGGCCTGCAGGCAACGGCCATTCACGCCACCAGCTCTACGTCTCCCCCCAAAGATTTTGAAACTCCCGCGGAAACTGGGGGAGTTTGCGCAAGAAACCACGAGCATTCTGGGACATGTGCAGCTTCCGGTCGCAGCCTGAGCCAATCAGAGAGCACCGCGTCATCAACGGCGCGACCGGCTCAAGGGGCCGCCATCTTGTCCGCTGAAGGCGGCACAGTTCCTGCCAAGTACGAAGAGGAGCAACTGCCCGTGGGACGCGTGCTGTCCATCCACCAACTCCTGCCCGTCCTCATGGAATTCTCCTCGGCGGGAGGTGACTGGGCAGCTTTCCAGTGGCCTTTCCTCTCCCACTGCGAGATGGCGGGGTGGACGGAGGCAGAGGCGCTACGAGCACTCCCGGCCGCCTTGGACAACAATGCCCTTGTCGCCCTCATCACGATCCCACAAGAGGATCGTTCAATGCTGCAGCAGGCGCTGCAACATATGCCTGCAATATACGGACTACTGCCGGACACGCGACACCGCTTTGCTGTTCGGAGGAAGGGTGAGTACGAGACTCCCCTAGCTTTCCACAGCACGCTGCTTGCCCTTGCCAAAGGTGCCTTCCCTTGCATGGACCACGATGGCATCGACGCTTTCATGCTGGAAAATATGCTGGCACTGGCTCGGGATCTGTGGGTCGTTATACACGCTGTGGATGTTGGACACCTCTGCTCCCTGCATGCCACCAAATGCATCCAGGTGCATTTACTCCTCCAGCGGGAGACAGGCCTCGTGGCCTGCACCACACCGGCTGAAACCTGCAACCCTTCGGAGTAGTCGCAGCCCAACCAAGCCTTTGTATTGGCTAAGGCAAGGGGTTGAAGAGCTGACGATCGCCCACGTCAATGTGACTTCCGACAGTGGGGACATATGTCTCCGCCGCCAGACACAGCACCCATAACTTCCTACAACTTCAGTCTATGGGGTCACAGTGTCATTGGGCTGCTGGGCGCCTCGACGCCGCATCCCTGGTCCATGGTCTTCGGCTCCTCGGTCACCCTCAGCTCTATGGAGGCCTCAGGCAAGTCGCGACACCATACATTTTCGACCCCCACTCTCACCTCGCACACTTCATCACATCCAGTTGCACATTTGTCATGCGTTGGGCGAAAGGGGGCTGGAATGTCTTAAAACCAATTGGGCACTCCGATTAAGTCAGTGGTCCAACTTGGCCCATAGATTAGTTGCCGCGGCCGCAGGGTCCTCTGTCATTGTTGGATCCATTGAGGGGGTCGCTTTTAGAATGCTGGATGACACAGGGCCATCTGCAACCATAATTTCGGACCTCATTTACAATATTTTCCCAAAAATATTTCGCCACCTGTATCCTAATGTCGTTCCATATTTTTCCGCTAATGGAGGGTCGTTGGGCATAGTTGGTCATTAATGCATGCCAGATTTGTATTGGCGACGTAAAATTGATGGGTCCCATTCTAGAGACACTGTCCCTCGCCGTTCTGTGCTTACTGGGAAGGGATTTCTCCGGAAAAATCAAAATCATGGTCGACCAAGGTTGCATTGAACTCCCCTCCGGCCGGCGTATGGCATTCCTGCCTTCCACCACTCGTTTGCGCACGGCTTGTGCTACCGTTCAGGCTTTGGCGTCCCGAAAGGTGTGCATTCCGCCGGGTGCGCAGATGTTAGTTCCCCTTCGGCTTCGTAAACCTCTTGATGTGAGCACGATGGCAGGGGGTGTCCTGCTGGGTCCTTCAAACACTGCGGTCTGGGGGTTGGTGCTGGTCGGTTTACAGACTCTCGTTTCTGGTGATAGGGATTTCTTCATCCAGGTCTTGAATGCCGGGTTGCGAACGATCGTCATACCGCAGGCTACTGTGCTCGCTCACACGACGCCAGTGCTCCAGGGGGATTCGGTTGTGGGCCACATTGGAGCTGCACCTCAGTCGCAACCCCACTCCAACCTCAATGAACAATGGATAGATTCACTTTGCTTGTCGACTGTCAACCTGTCTGACTCTCAGAGGGCAAAATTGCACGTGCTATTACGTGAATTTTCCGACGTTTTAGTAAAAGTAAATTTGACATTGGATGTACTAAATTGCTGAGCCATCATATTGACATGGGGGACACTGCTCCCATCCAGCAGAACCCATTCCGCTTGAGCCTGGCTGAGAAAGAGCATGTTAGGTTGGCCGTTAATGACATGTTAGCCGCGGACATAATTTCTCCATCCACCAGCCCATGGAGGGCCAAGATTGTTCTCGTCAAAAAGCATGATAGTAGCTTAAGATTTTGTGCTCGATTTCCATAGGCTTAATAAAATTTCGGTAGCCGACGCGAATCCACTTTCTCGTATGAATGAGTCGCTAGATGCTTTAGTGGGAGCATGCTATTTTTCGAAGCTGGACCTTTTGTCCTGGTATTGGCAATTGCCCCTCGATGAGGCATCAAAACCCAAGACTGCTTTCTGTACGCTGCAAGGTCATTTTTTTATTTGAATCGGCTGCCCAGGGGTCTCCACTCGGCTCCAGCAAAGTTCCAGTAATTGATGGAACTGGTTCTCGCTGGGCTCCAGTGGGATTCATGCCTGATATATTTACTGTAGATGATGTTATCATCTTCAGCCGTACATTCGAGGAACATCTGGAACGCTTGAGGGCCGTTTTTGGTAAAATGCGAGTGGCAAACCTGAAATTCAAACCACATATATGCCACCTCCTGCGGGAATCTGTGCATTACCATGGGCACATTGTCAGCTAGTCGAGCATTGCCACTGACCCAGAGAAGACAGAATTCATTCTCTCATGGCCGACCCCCACGTTGGTGGGGGAAGTACATTTTATTTGCTTCGCGTCTTATCATCGACGCTCCGAGCGGGTTTTGCATCCATTGCAAAGCCCCTCCATGCACTGACGGCCAAAAGATAAAAATTCCATTGGGGGGAGGTGGAGGAGGCCGCATTTAATTCGCTTTGCGATGCTTTGGTAAATGCCCTACCCCTATGTTGCCCTAATTTAATCCATACAATCAATCCTCACCAACGGACGCCAGCAACACCGGCATTGGCGGGGTGTTGTCTCAGGTCGTCAACGGAGTCGAACGCGTGATTGCATATGGCAGCAGAGTGTTATCTCCAGTGGAGCAACGTTATTTTGTTACTTG